ATATTACCAAAACTAGATGTGGAGCTGAGGTCATCGATTGTCTTCACGCCACATTATCCTGCGTCGCCTAGCAGGGAGTGAATGAGAAGAATGGCGAGGAATATTATAGTCCATGCCCAACCCCGATCCTTCTCCGTAATCTCGGTCTTGTCCCTATGGTGAGCATCACCAATCGGGCTTTGTCAAGTATAAAAATGGATCGGATTATTGAACAGGCAGTGCAGACGTCTCTCAGCGCTTAACCTTTGACACCAGATTTTGACATAAAGTAAGGGCGACTGATATTTGGTTGACGCCAATTCCACTGCGTGATGTGTGCCGTCTGCTATTAGAAATGTTAAATTATAAATGATAAGTATGTTGCTCCTAAGTGTGGCAGTTGTTAGAGCAATCACAAAAATTACAAAAAACTGTTAAAGTGACATTAAGGCTGGGTTCACACCCAGGCGTATCGAATATGCGCGTTTGTCGCGCGTTTCGTGCCGCGCGTTTTTACCGCAAATACGCCCCAAAGAAGCTCCTGTACTTCTTTGGGCGTAGGGCATTTTGCAGCGCGTTCCTACGTGCTGTAAAACGTCCAGGTTGGGAACCATATCCATAGGCAATCATTGGTTTTCCCATGTTGAGCGTTTTACAGAGCGTAGGAACGTGCTGTAAAACGCCCAGGTGTGAACCAGGCCTAAACCCTCGGTGGGGGGGGGTGGGTGTTAGATGTATCTAATCCTAGCAAGCAGTAGATATATGCAAAAACATTTTAACAAATTTAAAAAAGTCACCAAAAAGGTTATTACTTACCTGTGTCTCCGCCGCTTGCTACCGTCTAAAGGTCTGAAAAATTATTGAGCGGCCACGAAGGATCATGGGGCGGGCGCATGCGCAGTAGAGATCTTTGGCCGAGAGAAGAGGAGAGACACAGTGTAAGTCAATGCACGCAGCCCGGCAGCGTGCAGCACACAGACACCATGGGACAGGAAGCGACAGGAGTCTGCGGTGGATCAGAGACCGGCACCAGCGCTGGAGGGATTCCTGAAAACTACTGGAGAGAAGAAGATGATCAGATCAAGAGGCATCATGTAAGGTAAGTCCTTAAAGGAGAACTATGAGGTGAGTGCTTTTCACTCACCTCATAGTTCTAGCCGACCTGTGACAATGAGACTGTCACAGGTCGGCTCAGTAGATCGGGAGGTGAGCGAACACATACTGGCGTTCGCTCACCTCTCGATCCTGTCACGGCTCTCTGCCGTGACAGGGGAGGGGCTGGATTCCCCCCTCCCCGCTCCGATCCGCCAGCGCTGACTGGCAGAACGGACGGGGGAGGGGGCAGGTACAGCTGGCTCTGCCTCTAGATAGGCAGAGCCAGCTGTCACTCACGCAGCTGGGCGGATCCCGTCATCTAAGTCGGGATCCGCTCCGGCGTCTCAGTATACCGCGAGCTGTAGCTCGCGGTATACTGAGCTTAGGGTAACGGGAGGACGCTAGTTTGTGTCCTCCCGTTACCCTAAGGAGAACTATGGGGAAAAACACTGACCCCATATTTCTCCGTTAAAGCAGCATGGTGGTATAGAGGCATTTTACCATACAACGTCACTTTAAAGTGTATCTAAAGCCAAACTTTTTGGGTTGTTTTTTTATTTTTGGCTAGAATGGGGAATGAATAAAGCTGAACTCTAGCTAGATATATAAGACAAATTGATACGGCTCTCAAATCATTAATACAGTATTAAATGTTTTTGTTTTTTTAAATGCAAGCAGTATGAGAGCCAGACTTTGACCTGGTATCAGCTCTTGCAATCCCTATACAGCAGGGCTGGAGTGTGAGTGGAAGAAGCAGCACAAGAAGCCAATTCGTTCATGCACTGACAAGAAACATGCTGATAGGTGGAATAAGCAGAGTGACAGAGGGATGAGCTCATCACTGCGCTACTTCTCCGTCACTGTCCTGTCACAGGCTGGGGGGGTCCAGGATGACCTGAGCTCAGAGGAAGTGGGTTGATTGATGCTGGCCATCTAGCAGCAGACAACAATTGCTGCGGAGGGAAATTTCTGAATTGAAGGTGAATGTTGCAGCAAAAGCTGGTTTTGTTATTTCAGTTTGTAATGGGCAATTTGTTTTTCTTTCAGTATCTCTCTAGGTGTCACTGGTTACCAGGGCAAATATATCTCCCCAGCCAGGGCATGGACATAAAAAACAAATTCCAGAGAGACGTTTCAAGTCTTCCCCACTCTATCCAAAACTAAAACAATGAAGGGGATTCATCAAAACTGGAGTAGACAAAATCTGGAGCAGCTTTGCCTGGCAACCAATCAGCTTCTCTCTTTCATTTTCATTTCTTAACTGAACAAACTGAAGAGAGAAGCTGATTGGTTGCCATGCACAGCTGCTCCAGATTTTGTCTGCCCCAGTTTTGATAAATTCCCTTCATTGTTTTTTTAATATAATTCCTACAATGTGGATTACGGTCATCACAGACTGCGTCATAATGTGCTCCTAGGGGGCGTGTCCACGACAGGCCAGGCCAAGAGGAAGTGGCTTGGATGATGATAGCCGAGTTGGAACCTCTATTGAGTTTTATTGATGCCTTTGTCTTTCTTGAGGAGATTACCAAGGAGACTGCAGGGATTAAGAGGACTGCACAGGCCAATGCCAAGGTATATCAATTAAAATTTCATGAATCTTAAATAACGCTGTGGTTGTGTGTAGCGTCTTATCCTACGTCATTGCTAATGGTCAACAGGGAGACGACAGACTAAGATATAAGTTGTATCATGTCATACCTCGAGCCTAGTTACATCCACTCCATCAACAGGATTCCAAAGAGCCAAACATAGGAGAGGTATTAGTGGCTCCGATAATCCAAAGATGTCCCAGAGTGTTAGTATCCAAGACAGATGAGAGGACAAATGATTATTACAGTCAAACAGGGGGGAAAGAAAGTGAGAACACAGCCACCAATAATAAGGTCTCACTTTATCCCCTGAATGATGAAGGATATGACGCTACATAGAACCTCAGTGTTATTTAACCACTTGCTGACCGCGGTGTTTACACCCCTTTCCTGGCCCGGCCATTTTTCAGAATTCAGCGCTGTGGTACTTTGACTGACATTTATTCCGTCATGCAGCGCTGTACTGAAATTAATTTTATACAATTTTTTGGGGACAGATAGAGCTTTCTTTTGGTGGTATTTAATCACCACTACGGGTTTTATTTTTTACTATATTAAGGAAAAATGACTGAAAATTTTGAGAAAAAAATAGTTTTTTTAACATTATGTTATAATATTTATTAATAGCCAATTTTTTTGGTAAAATATAAAAGACGGGGTCACGTCGGGTAAATAGACACCAAACATGTCAAGCCTTAAAATTGCGTGCACTCGCGAAATCACAAAAAAACTACTATACCCAAAATTGACCATAGGTGACCCTAAGCTTTTACCGCTCATCAGTTTAGTGTTATCAGTGATTGATGGCCCTAGAATTATTGCTCGCACTGCAACGTACGTGGCGATATGTAACATGTGCAGCGTAATGGGCGCAATTGTCGTTTTCGACGCATGTTTGCACACTTTAAAAAAAAAAATTTAAATTCAAATTCTTTTTCATGTGTGACTTGAATTCCTTTTTTTTTTTTTCCAAGACCCCTAATGTCACCTAGGAACCCCTCCCCCCAAAGAAGCTGATGAAGCAGAGATCTTCTTCATCAGCTTCTCTCCAGCTTCCGAAGCTGGAGAATGACACAAGAATGCGGAAGTGATGTTATCGCTTCCGCATTCTGACACCAGAGAGGGGACCGGAGGGAGACCGTGTACCGATTTCCCTCTGATCTCCTTTCACAGAGCCACCATGCTGGTCCTGGGCTCGCACCGGGCACAGCGGAGCTTGGGACCAGCGGGAGGGGGACCACGGAGGGGGGCGCACATACCGGCACGTCTGCAAACGTCCACCGTTTAGACCAGTGGCGTCACAAGGAGGGGGGTTCGGACCGCACCCGTGTGACACCATTGAAGGGGTGACACCAAAATGACTGGCAGTCATTTTGGTGTCACCCCCTCTGAAACGTCAGGCACTCGGTCATGGGCCGAGAGCCTGACAGCTGCAGGAGAGAGAGGAGGGGACCCGGCGGCATACCTTATTCCAGCAGGTGAACGTCCAATCTCTGCCAGCGTCCATCACCAAGATGGCCGCCAGCAGGTATCACAAAGATGACCGCGCACGTGGTGACGTCACATGCATGCACAATGACATCACGACGGGGTGTCACCCGGTATCCGCTCCAAGTGACACCCGGCCTCAGGACACAAATGGTTTAGACCCAGCTGCCCAAAGACTAGCATTGGGCATCAGATCAGGTCTGCGTAAGAAACTGACAGTTGGACCGGATCGCACTGTAATGCGAAGCCAAGCAAAACTGAAGCAAGGACGTTCGCATGCGGTGTGTGAGCGAAGCGCGGCCAAATGAAAGACTGCATCTATAGCCAATCGGCTCGCACGTACAACCGAAGCTGGCGTGAAAATGACATGACACACTGCACGCGAAGGTCTGCGCACTACCGCTTTGCGTGCAGTGTGTCACAAGCTTTACACCTAGTGTGAATGTAGCCTAAATAGGCAAGAAAATGTGCGAAAACTCTACGTTTCACTTTTTCAGGTGCTCCCATTAAAGTCTATAGGGGTAAAACCACGTGACTCCAATGGAAAGACATTGCCTATCTCTTCACCTTGCCTGATCGCAATGTTATACTTTCGTTCCGCTTTGATTGGACAACACGGGGGAATAACTGTTACTTTTTTTTAGGTGAAACAAAGTATCGTTGTCCCGGAAAAGACTATCGCCGTGCTTGGAGCTTCGATCGGCTCCGGCCAGGTAGAGGTGTACACAGCCTGCGTGGGATAGGTGGAGGGGGAGGGAAAGGACAAGGGGGGTAGGAAAGGTGTAGAGTGCTCTTTGAGTGACGGTTGCCAGGACGACGGCCGGGCTCCCATAAGAAGGGGGGTAAAAAAAAATGTCTTCCCCTTCCAACGGGATAGAGATCAAGCAGGAGGATGCATTGGAAGCGGTCGCCTTCTCCATGGAGCCTGGCGGGACAGAGGAAGGGGTGAAGAGCGAGGTGGCCCCGTACACCCTGGCCTTCTCCACGGAGCATGTCGCCTGCGTGTGCGAGGCTCTGCAGCAAGGCGGGGACCTGGACAGGCTGGCCCGGTTCTTGTGGTCGCTGCCCCAGAGCGAGCTGCTACGTGGCAACGAGAGCATCCTGAAAGCCCGGGCGCTGGTGGCTTTCCACCAGGGCCGCTACCAGGAGCTCTTCTCCGTGCTGGAGAGCCACAACTTCGAGCCGTGCAACCACGCCGCGCTGCAGGAGCTGTGGTACAAGGCGCGCTACACCGAGGCGGAGCGGGCCCGCGGGAGACCCCTGGGGGCCGTGGACAAGTACCGGCTCCGGAGGAAGTTCCCCTTGCCGCGCACCATCTGGGACGGAGAGGAGACCGTGTACTGCTTCAAGGAGAAATCCCGCAACGCACTGAAGGAGCTCTACAAACACAACCGATACCCGTCCCCCGCCGCCAAGAGGAACCTGGCCAAGATCACCGGGCTGTCCCTCACCCAGGTCAGCAACTGGTTCAAGAACAGGAGGCAGCGGGACCGCAACCCGTCCGAGGCGCAGTCCAAGAGGTGAGCCAAACGGCGGTCTGTGTACTCCGCTCTGCCATTGTGCCCGCTACTGCAATATGGCTGCGGAGGAAACTTTTTTCCTGCACTTTTCCCAGGCCGGGGTGTGATGGAGGAATGACAGAGTCAATCATTGACTGAGCATGGCGGGGAGCAGGGAGCTGTGTTTTGAAACCTGATTCTGGGCTCCACCGGCTCGGGTTTCATTCAGATGATGAGAGGAGATGAGGGACTCGTTGTGTGCCGGGGGCTGTGCTGGTCGGTGTGTGTGGCTGTCATGGTGCACGGGGGGAGGGGCGGGGGTTCAAGTCAGATGATGAGATTTGTGAATTGGATTGAAATGTGATGAATAGAAAGTTTGTCTGGTTCGGTCTGTGCGGTCCGAGCTGTGGCCCCTGGGCTGGACAAAGATCTGTGTTTGACTGGCTCTTGAGGCAATTAATATCCCACTGGCAGCAACAATGGGGGGGGGGAGGGGGGGGGTCACTATTCTTAGAACTGACACTGACCATGGGTCACTATTCTTACAACTGACACTCACGATGGGGGTCCACTATTCCTCCCACTGATACTGAATATGGGGTCCACTATTCCTCACTCTGACACTGAATATGGGGTCCACTATTCCTCCCGCTGACACTGAATATGGGGTCCACTATTCCTCCCGCTGACACTGAATATGGGGTCCACTATTCCTCCCGCTGACACTGAATATGGGGTCCACTATTCCTCCCGCTGACACTGAATATGGGGTCCACTATCCCTCCCACTGACACTGAATATGGGGTCCACTATTCCTCCCACTGACAGCAACAACGGGGCCACTATTCCTCCCACTGACAGCAACAACGGGGCCACTATTCTTCCCACTGACCATGAGTCATTATTCCTCCCGCTGACACCGACGATGGGGGCACTATTCCTGACACTGACCATGAGTCACTATTCCTCCCACTGACAATGACGATGGAGGTCACTATTCCTCCCACTGACGGCAACAACGGGGCCACTATTCTTCCCACTGACCATGGGGGCCACTATTCCTCCTGCTGACACCAACTATGGGGTCACTATTCCTCCCGCTGACACAGACGAGGGGGGCCAATATTCTTCCAGATGACACCCACTTTGGGGTCCACTACTTTTTCCACTGACACTGAGTATGGCGGGGGTCACTATTCCTGACACTGACCATGGGGGCCACCATTCTTCCCGTTGGCACCGACGGTGGGGGCCACTATTCTTCCCGCTGACACCGACGGTGAGGGCCACCATTTTTCTCACAGACGATGGGGCAATGTTGCTCCCAGTGTGAACGGGGCCAGAGGCACTGATGCCAGGGCACTATTGTTCCCATTGTCGGCGGGGCACTATTGCTCCCACTAACACCAGCGAAGAGGAATATTTCCCTCACTGACCAACGATTGGCCACTATTCACCCCACTGACGCTGATGATGGGGCACTATTCCCCATCACTGGCCCAGGCGACGGGCCCCTGTTCCTCCCGCTGGCCCAGGTGACGGGCCCCTGTTCCTCCCGCTGGCCCAGGCGACGGGCCCCTGTTCCTCCCGCTGGCCCAGGCGACGGGTCCCTGTCATCAACAATGGC